ATTTTCATGCTCTTGAAGAAACACAATATAATCATCTGGAATTGCATTTCTCCTTTCTCTAGTGGATCTCCTTAATGGCACTTCTTGAGTTTGTTGAGTTTGTTCTATAGGTGGCATAGGGGGTGGTTCATTATTGTCTTGACCCAAAGAAATGCCAGGGACCAAAGCCTGTTCCATAACAATGTCATGAACAGGGACCTGATCATTAATTGCTTGTTCCGTAATTGCATCTTGAATGATGACAATATTAGGAAGAGAAATATAACTTTCTTCCTCATTAAAGACAACATTCCTTATTTTATCTTTCCCCCAAACTCAACATCCTCAAGGAATCTGGCATTTCCCGTATCAAAAAAGGATCTTGTAGTGGGATTATAAAACTTAAAGCTCCGAGAGCGTTCAACATATCCAACAAAATAACAGCTGATTGTTCTTGAGTCCAACTTTCTTTCATTTGGCCTATAAGGCCTTGCTTCTGCTGGACAACCCCAAATGTGTAAATGCCTTATGCTAGGTTTCTTTCTATTCCATAGCTCATAAGGGGTTTTTGTCATTGTTTTGCTGGGAACCCTATTAAGGATATAAACTGCAGTCTTTAGTGCTTCTCCCCAAAGTGATTCTGGCAATGAAGAATGACTAAGCATACTCCTCACCATGTCTTGAAGAGTCCGGTTTCGCCTTTCCGCAACACCATTCATGCTAGGTTTACCTGGCATTGTGTATTGCGGGACGATTCCACACTCCTTTAGGAAGATCGCAAAAGGCCCTGGACGTTGTTCACCTGATCCATCAGATCTACCATAGTATTCACCTCCACGATCAGATCTAGTGGCCTTAATTTTCTTGCCTAACTGAAGTTCAACTTTAGCTTTAAATTCTTTGACCACATCCAATGATTGTGACTTCTCTCTAATCAAATATAGGTATCCAAATCTTGAATAATCGTCTATGAATGTGATAAAGTATTGTTGACCATTCCAAGAGGCTATAGGAAATGGTCTACAAATATCCGTATGAATCAATTCTAAGACGTCTGAAGCTCTGTTGGAACCTATTTTTCTTATGTTTGTCTGTTTCTCCTTTATGCATTCAATGCACACCTCAAAATCATCCAGATCAAGGGGTTCAAGAATTCCACCAGTCACAAGCCTCTGAATTCTCTATTTAGAGATATGACCTAAACGCTTGTGGCACATAACCAGTACCAACAAACTAAAGTGAGAGTCATACCCTTCTTTTCGCGCCATGCCTTGTATTTGGAACACTCTTTCTTCATGTGTCCAGATTTCTTACAAAAGAAGCAGGTGAATTCTTGGTCCTGCTTCTTTTGCTTATTTGGCAAAGCATCTGCATTATCCTTAGCTCTCTTTCTTTTCTTGTCTTGAGAGGTTGATGCCAAGTTAGCACTATCAGTCTTCTCTCGTTGTAACCTCTTTTCCTCTTGCACGCAGTGAGAAATGAGCTCATTAAGAGTCCATTTTTCCTTTTGAGTGTTATAACTCACCATAAATTGACTGTATTGTGCAGGAAGAGAGATAATAACCAAGTACGTGAGCAACTCAGAGGGCAGCTCTAACTTTAATGCCTTTAGTTTTCCAACAAGATTAGGCATTTCCATAATGTACTCCCTTATGTTTCCATTTCCTTTATACTTCATGTTTATGAGTTTGGACAAGGTTTGACCAATTTCAGCCTTTTCATTTCGAGCAAAGTATTGCTCGAGCTCCTTCGAAAACAACTTGGCATCAGTAGTCTCAAACATTTCATGATCATCAGACACATGTGATTTGAGCGTTCCCACTTCTCAATTTTATCTGTGTTTGGATTTTCCTGAGTGGAAGTGGGTTTCTCAGTCCTTAGCGCATTGTCGAGATCCATGCAGCCGAGAACAATTTTCAAATTTTCTTTCCACAACTTGAAATTTGCCCCATTAAGCATTGGAAGCATATTCATTTGAGCAATATAATTGGCAGCGGTAGCAGAAACTATACAAAGAACAAAAAAGATAACATACAAATAATCCGAAGTAAAATGAGTTTATTATAAGATACCTAGCACAACATTAATATTAAGTCTGTGGACAAAAATATCAATTTGTAAGTGGTACTCTTACTGTAGTAATCAAACATTGACAATAAGTCCTGTCAAATCATAGCCTTCCTGTGGGCCGACTATGAATTACATGGAGAATTCTTGATAATTGTCACATATTTATTACCACAGGTATGTTTGTTACTTGGCCAAATAATAACCTTTCTGTGGGCCGATCACTATCCTCATAAGCAATAAACACACACATGATCACACAACATATGTTATTTGGCCAAACAATAACCTTCCTGTGGGCCGATTATTATTTGCATAAATAAAATATATTTATATGACCAACCTATTTGAAATCAAATTAACCTTTATAAATTTGGCCACTTCGGCGGCTAACAAATCTATCTTATTCAATTTCAAATAAAAACCTTTAGGGATAATAGACACATTTAAAAATAAAATAACAATAATAAAGAAAATTATTCTTTATCAATTCTCAATGTATATATATATACATATTGTATAATTATATCATTATATCAATAACAATAAATACCTTTTCATTATAAGGCTTAAAATTAATGCACAATCGACGCACATGTAAGCTTTTTCAAATGAAAGCTTGAAAATGATAACACAATAAATACCTTTTCATTATAAGGCCTAAAAATTAATGCACAATCGACGCACGTGTAAGCCTTTTCAAATGAAAGCTTGAAAATGATGCACACAATACCCAAAAATTTAAATTTGGCTTTTGACAAAGAATATCAAATCTAAGAAAAAAAATTCCCAAAACCAAAGACTTTAAACATTCGATTTCTTTCAAACTATGAGTCCAAAACATTCTATGAGAATGGATTGTTCATTTAAATTTGCAATTCAAACAACAAACCCTAATTATAGAGCCAAATTTTTTCCAAACATTCCATCTTTAAGAAGATTCAAAAGTTTAAATAATAAACTCTTATTAAACTGCGAATTCTAGATTTTCAAAAGATTGTAACTTTTGTTCCAAAATCAAAAATTACCGTCAGGGAACAAAAATAACACTATATAGCTAATACAAAATACATGAGATGGAACCCACATTAAAAAAAAAACAGTAAACTTTATGCCAAAAGACAATAAAACAAAACTTTTCACGATTCATCATATATAAAAATCACAAAACTTAATTCCCTCATGATTCAGTATGATTATGGCTCTGATACCAGTTGTTAGAAATTTTTTTAATTCCTCTAAACCTTTTGGTGATAACTATCACCTACAAGCCAAACTCCATCATACCAAATCACAAAGAAACAATAACATAAAGGTGGAGGCATACCTGTCTCCATTGCAGCGGAATAACTTTGATTTTGTCTCTTGGGGTTTGTAGTCTTCCTCAGTCAAATCACCCTAAAACCAAATTCCTTAGTGTGTCGTGTCTCTCTTGATGGGGAAGAGAAACTAGGGTTGTCCATTTGACATCTTGTGGACCATAACCCTTATAGTGTTTTTATCTTTATTGTTGAGCCAATAAGCTCCCATTATACCTAGTTGGTCCTACACCGGTATCCACTCATTCAGCCCATACTCACTTAGGAATCTATTTGAGAATATTTAACTGATCACTTTAATTTACCCAATATATATAAATAGCACAATATAATTATTAATATAATATGTAACCCACAATGATTATTAGAAAATATAATTTCCTAACACTATATGAATAGGATATTTATTTCATATAAGTTGGGTGCTTGATATAACAAGGTAATTCTGTTAGTTTCTGTTTATATAATAAAAAATTTGGTTTAGCATACATTCGTATTTTTATATTTTCACGCCGTAGAGCTGGCCGGGCTTGCTTTAGTGCTTGAGGTCGTTTGATTCACCTTTTTTTAAAAGTAACTTTTACTACTTCTTTATTTTAAAAGTAATTTTTACAAAAGTTAAAGCTATTTATATTTTTATAAAAATATTTAGTTTTTGAAAAAAATATTTGGCTTTTGACTTCTGCTTTTCTGAGAAGTTAAAAATTTTAGCTTCTGAAAAAAGTAGGTTTTTGACTTTTTTTGTGACTTCTCCTTTTTTTTAAATCAGACATCCAAACGAACTAAAAACGAAAAGTGCTTTTTTTCTTAAAGAAAATCAACTTTTGAAGAAAAAAAAGAGCATCCAAATCCTAGCATTGAAAGTTTTTGAGGCTTCAGTTTCTTGTATTTTCTTGTGTCGTGATTTATTCTTGTGTAGAGAAAGTGATAAACGTACAAGTGCAAGTATAAGTGAACCTGGAAATGATTTGGTTTTTGTTTGTTTAAAAAAAAAATTGTTGAAAAAAGTTGGTTTTAATCACAAATGTGATTGGTTATAACTGTGATGTTCGAATATGTAAATATAGGTATCTTCTGTCTTACCGATAGAGAAGTCTAGTTGAATGGACTAGTATGTTATTTTTGGATCTAGATGTCCTCTTTAAAATATTTATGAGTTAGATGCTCTTGAGTCGAGCAGATCACTATATATAAAAGAATAATTTACGACTTTGCCAAAAGGGTGTGTGCGAGCACAGTGACAACATAATAGTAAGAGAGAAAGTGCACATATGTAGATTTTACTTCTTATTTATAGAGTTTACCTATGGATATTAGGTGCTGGACCTTCAGTGCTTCTGCTAACAGCCTAAGCTCGTGTATTATTCCGTCGTATTAGGATTGATATCTTTGATGAATACCTTTCCTTAATTATGTTTGATTTATGCTTAGTTTGTCCCTTATTGGGCTTAACAATAACGGGCCTCAAATATGATTCCATAATAAACTCAATCATTGTTAGGTTATCGAACTAGAGGAACCCAAACTACTGTAAAATAATTTTTATTTTATCATTTAATATTATGTTACAGCGTCAATAAAAAAGTTATAACTTTTCAATAAATACTAGTACATGATAAAAATTGTAATGATCACTTAACAATATATAATTGAATAATTGTGTAAAACAATGCTTTGAAATTAAGGCTAAGTGTTAATTTACTTAAGTGTTATGCATTACATTATTGTTTTTGGGAAAACAAGTTTCAAACATGTACACTTTTCTTCTACAAGTTTAGGCCAATTGATAACACGATTGAGAGTATTATCCATCCCAATATGAAGTATCCAACCAGTATTGTTGGTCCGACATCCTCAGGTTCCTGTCATGAGAAAAAGAGAACACTGTTTAATACAATACTAACTCTCTTCATTTTGAAATAATTATCACTTAAAATTCTTAATTTGTTAAAATTATTTACTGTTTTAATTTTTTCTTTATTTCTTAGTATCTTACTAAGTGGAACAAGAAAAATCATTAATAAATTAAATGGTAATTCAATTAAATATAATTATATTTCCTTAAAATTAAAGCTATTTAAATGATAATTATTGTAAAATGGGGAAAAAAAATTCTCTGTGTTTGTGTCTATAAATGGTTTTTTAATGAAATATTATATAAGTTTAAATAATTGTTCCTATCTTCGAGACTCTTTGTTTTATACTATTGTTGAAGGGGGGAAATGACAGTGTCGATATTCAACTTTATCACAACCATTTTCTTTTTCACTTTTTTTAAAAATTATGCAAGTGATAATAGTGGTCAAATTGATATTAACAATATACATGAGAAGGGACATTTAGATTTAGTATCAGGCTCTGTATAAAGTAGTTTAGGATGTCTTCTTTCGGAACAGTGATCATTGTGTTACTGTTTCCACTCTTATTTACCTAAATGCCACGCACCTGAACTTTTTTTTCCAAACTGCCACGCGAGCTAGTTCGCTGGGAGTAGTAGCGACCTCGTAATGCTGAGCTGTCAGCTTCCTGGTGGTGTCAGAGTTCGCGACTGACGCAGGCGACCTCTGTTGCAATTAATGCCTGACCAGCCAGGCCGCGTGGCGTGCATGAGCGAGGTCGCTGCCCACACAGGCGACCTGTGCCCAACGGCTACATTTTCACCCTATATAAACACCCCCCCTCTCCCTTTCCTACGTCTCTCTCTCTTAATTTCCTTGCTCTCACATTTGGTCTTAACTCTCTCTCTCTCTCTTAATTTCCCTCTCTCCCCCCACCTAGGTCGCTTGCGTAGGCAGCGAACTCAAAATACTTTGCAGGCTTTTTATCAAACAAGTTCGCGGCTGACACAAGCGAACTTAAGAACCAGCAGCTGACTGACACATCATCATGCCTAGTTCGCTACTACTCCCAGCGAACTAGCCCGCGTGGCAGTTTGGGAAAAAAGTTCAGGTGCGTGGCATTTAGGTAAATAAGAGTGGGAACAGTGGCACAATGGTCACTGTTCCTTTTCTTTCGCAGGGTAAAAAGTAACATTTTTTGCTTGTGAGAATCATTTATGATGGTATTAATCTCATATTAAATAAGATATGTTATTTTATATCATAAAAAATAAAGGAATGATTATATTTATAAATTTTTTATTTATAAACTATATTATGTATTTCTGAAAGTACACTAGGTTACATTGTGTACTTTCGAAAATACATAGTGTAATTTGTAAAAATTTATAAATGAATTCTTTCCCTAAAAATAAATATGTGAGCCCCACTATTTCTAAAAAGAGAAAAAAAAAGAGACTCAAGGTATCAATCTTTTTATTTATATAATGAGAAAAATTATCTCGTTAAATGTAAGAAAATATTTTCCATCATTTATACACGGACATATGAAAATAGAAACAGTACAAATGGTCTACCAAAAAAAAAAAAAAACAGTACAAATGTGCTTGCCGAATAAAAAGAAACAGTACAAAGCAGAAGCAGGAACAAATACCTGTGGGGGAGGATCTCCTTTTGGGATTTGTGTTATGTCAACCTCGAACGGCCAAACGTATTTGTCTGTAATCTGGGATCTGGCCAAGCTCCAGTCATATATTCTTCTTTCTTGTTCCGATGACAGGATGGTGTATGATTCCTATACAAGGTAAATCAAATCATTACAATGTTTTTGAGGGAGCGAAATTATAATATAAAATTTTCTTCTTATAAAAGTAAAAATAAAGTAATGATACTTATAAATTTTGACGAGGGCAACCATTAATTATTTGACAAAAAATAAAAAATAATATTAAAATCTAGAGGTTGTCCACTAAAAATACAAATACAAAGTAATTGAATTGCGAATGAATAAATGCATATATAGTATTAATTTACTGACTTTGAGAAGTGCTAGTTTCTGTTTCAGTTCTTCTTCCTCTAAATCTTGGCTCTCCAATTCTCGTACCTTGTTATTGTATGCAACCGCCACCTGTTAAAGTGTGGAGGGATGAAGAGAGACAGAGGTTAAAACCTTAAAATGGAAGAGTTGAAACAGAACACCAAAGGTGGTTCTGACCTTGTCAAAGGGACATCCTCTTGGAATGCCGAGTCTACCATAATGATCTGCGTCTGTAATTGCTGCATTCTAAACCAAATCTCCATTAATTAAATGCACTATTGTGCATATAAATCAAGAAGACATAAAAGGGTGGGATTGTGTTTTTGTGAAAGAGTATTATAATAAGGAAAATGATCCGTTTATAAATTACAAGTATGACTTGTCATATAACATTTTTACAGTAGTTGAAGTATGAACGGTCATATGTTTGTAAGAGTTTATAAACAAAAAAAAATTTGTAAATATAATCTTCTTCTTGTTAATACATAATAGCTTGCAAAACTTACGTATGCCACGTAGAGCCCTCTCTACGTTAAGAGCAGAAATTAAAGATGGTGGTTCTTTTGGAACTTCAATGGAACTCTCTGAATCTACTACCTCTGCGTCAGTGGTATCGGCTGAGACATCACTACTGGAGCTTCTGATGCATAATCTACGCGGTTTCACAGTAAAACTGATGGTAGTTGAGAATCCAAATTTTGGTGCTGGAGTGGGTGAAACGTTCTTACCGGGAATGCATACTGTGGCGGTGGTGGAGGACACGGCCATTGTCTTACCTAAGCTTTATGTGCTACTGTCCTTAACTGTATCTATGTGGGTTATATTATAATTTATTGCCATCAAATCAAACATGAGTTGGATAAGGCAATAGCTCCTCGCCATTAAAGAGTTATCTGGAACTAAGTTTGCGTGAAAATGTTATCTTATATAGATATTATTTAGGAGTCAATCATCAACAAAGTCGTTGTAGTATAGTGGTAAGTATTCCCGCCTGTCACGCGGGTGACCCGGGTTCGATCCCCGGCAACGGCGTTTTAATTTTGTTTTTGGTTACAACGTGATAATACGACAGTCGTTTAGGGGAGAACTAACGTAGACTTCTAGAATCTGCTTGTACTAACTTCGATCTGGGATTCTAACCCTCTTTTGGGCCAAGTGTAAAATTGCTATGGCCGTATCCACATATTAAAGGTGTTCATGGATTAGGTTAACGGACTCTAATCCATCCTGATATCTTGATTGAGCCGAAATTATGAAGTTGGATCTGACCAAATCAGGACTCGATTGATGAATAAGTCAAAATCAAAATTAGGTTGATCCAATATTTAGACAAAATACATAAATTTAAATATTAAATATATTAAGTCATAAAAAAAGAGATTTTTACAATATATATTTTTTAAAAATTATATCAATATAAAACTTATTATTATCTAAAGATATCAATTTAAGTCGAGAATTACAAGTTTTTTTTTTTTTTTTTTGGTTGAATCGAGAATTACAAGTTATCATTAATTTAGTGTGAAAAAAATAACATGATGAGAAGTTTTAACTTTCTTTCTTTTACTTTTTATTTTTTTGGTTAGAGTAAATTGTGTATGACAGTAAATATTATGTCATTCACATTAAAAATTTTAATAAATAAAGGGGTTATGTGAAAGTTTAATTCATTTTTTTGGGTACTATTAACTGTATGTAATACATTTAAAAAACTACTAATTATACTATTGTCCCTCTCCCTCCACCTTTGCATATGAAAACTAGAAAGATGAATAAAAAGAATGAAGTGAAAAAAGGGTGTGTTTGGTTTTTATTTAGAAAAAAAATATATTTGAAAAGTGTTGTTTTGTAAGAATGATTCGTAAAACAATAATTCTTTGTTATTTTTTAAAACTAAAAATTGCAAAATAACGTAGAAATGTTCTAATTTTTTTTTTATAATTTTTCGGTGATAATTTTGTAATTATGAAGATTCATTAATGGTATTTGTGTTGATAAATTCAATTTTTTTCATTTTAAATCATTTTGCAATGGCAACCTTATAAGTTATAATTATGAAGATTTATTAATGACACTTTTATAAATAAATTCAACTTCTTTTTAATTTTGGATTTAATTATATTTAAATAAGTTTTCTTGTTTTTTAATTTTAAAATTAATTTTCAAGATTTATATTACAAGATAGTTTTGAAGAACAAAAAAATAAAATAAAATTTAAATAGACCCAAAATCTTTTAACTTATTTCTAATGCATGCGAGGGTGAGTGTAAATAATTATACTATTGTCTTCCATAAATTTAAGTTTCTTTATTTTAAATTTGTCTGGGTCCCCTAATATTGATCGCTTTCTATATGATTATGTTTCTGACAGTGTTTTTGTTCAAAATTCAAGTATAAAAATGAAGTTTTACATTGATTAAAAATTAAATAAAATAAATACTTTATAAATAAAAAGACCCATAAACTAACTATCTTAAGTTTCTATATTGAGATATAGTATAACATTAATTTATTATAGTTTATCGCTTAATCTATTAATGAAAAGAATCCTTTGCAAAGATATTGGTCTCGTACCAGTTATTAGTTTTAACTTTTTATAATCTTCAAGACCCAAGCTGCTTTATAAATTAAGAAAAAAAAATGGGTCCCAAGAATAAAACCCATATTATTTAAATTTTCTTTTTTTTGCTTTTCTGATATAATATATATAGAGTGAGCCATGAGCTATCCTGTATGATACGCAGATGGTATGCTTGATCTTGATTAATGAAAATTAAGTGGTTATCAAGTTCGGACAACATTGCCAATTCAATTAAACCAAAAACAAGTATACATAAACAAAAGTTATCTATTTGATATTGGTTTTTCACTTTTTTTTTCCAATTTTTTAAAGAAAAGAGTTTCTTATGTTAGATTCATTATTGGTTAGGACGGCAAAGCAGCTGGTTCATTTCTTATTATTTTTAATCTCAACTACTCTTGCTCGCATGGATGTCCTTCTATATATTTTTGTATTGCAATTTTCAGCTTTCAAGTATAAAGATCCTTCCCCTCTTGCACAAAGAACATGCATTAACGAATCATCGTATCTAATTTGGAATGTTTATTAAACGCAACTTCGGCGGGGCGGCACTATAAAACCAAAATGTAAATGAAGTATGTGATGGTTTGTGTCATGGAAGGCCATATTCTTCTGATTTTGGTCACTTTTTATATTTATTAGTAATAGTCACTAATAGGGAGACTGAACATAGTGATTATTTGGGGTCCGAGGAGACCTCTGCACTTCATAGACCTTATCTAGTTGACATCAAGCACTTGCTCCAAGTTGTTGTGGAAAGCCACTTTGATTTTTCTTGGATATCAAGTCTTATCAAGTTTGACATAACAAGATGGTCACATTCGCTAAGAAAAATGTTTCAGTCTTGTAATAATTTAACACACAAAAATTCATAATCAATACGTAAAAAGCTTGCACAGTGCTGATGAGTTTGAGTTGAGTGAGTGCTCGATATTTGTTACAAAGTCATAAATCATGTCCAAAGGAAAAGCATTTTAATTTTCAGATTTTATTTTTATTTTGTTATAAAAAAATTATTAATAATATCTTAATCATGATGCATATTTTTTTTATTCAGCGAATTTCCTCTGCTGTTTTTGTTGGGTAGAGAAATAGAATTAGAACAATGGTATATATATGTTGTTGTCGCTGAATCTTTGTCATATTGGAATTTGGGTCTATTTTACAAAAATAAATTTTTTTTTGTCGTTACCTAAAACATAATAGTTGAAAAGGTCCAAAAATATATGGGGATTATATAGTTATAGGGTGGGGTTACTTGCATTCTCACGTGTCTATTCACATTATTTTTATTTTTATTTTTATGATGTTTTTTAAATTTATCCTTATTTTTAAAACTTCAATAAAGTCAATTTTTTATTAATTGTTTAACTATTTATTCTTACTCTTAAAATAATTATTTTTTTAAAACTTTTCTTTTATCACACACCAAAATCATTCATCTTTCTCTATTTCTTCCCTCACTAAATTATTTCCTTTTTAGTTTATTTTCTGGCTTCCTTGCAAATTTGAAACAAACCCATATGAAAAAATAAGAATAAAAATCTTGTTTTAATTCGTTCTCTTCATGCTCTAAATTACTTCCTTTAAATTATTTTTATGGTTATTCAGATTTTTTGGATACTCCTTCCTTTATAATTTTTGCTTATGTGATGCAAAAGGTTTTTATATTACAATATTGAAATGACAAAAGCAAACACACATGCCACATCACACACATTCAAAAATAGAAATAATGGTGTTATGTATGGTAAGTAAAGGGCTTTTTGACCCTTTTGCTCTTCATTAATTAATTAATAACAATTTTTCCCTTTATCCAAAATTATCAATCAATCTGCCCCTCTTTAATCGATTAACTTGAAGATTTAATCGATTAAATGGTCAAAACTGACAAAAATGATTGATTCGAGATTTAATCGATTAAATAACTCTCTTAATCGATTAAATATCCCTCTTGATCGATTCATTCGATTAAAACTTATATTTAATCGATTAAATATCTCAAATGAGCGTGAAAACATTGATTGAATGAGACAAACATGGAAAACTGATTGAAGATTCTGTTAAGTATTTTTATGATGAATATGCAAGATGAGAAGGGTTCGTTGTTCAACTTGATCACTGTCATGTTTCGAGGTTGACAATAGGATCACTTCGCGCCATTTTTCATGTAATAAGCTAGGTTTTCATGTGAGAGGTAGAAATGGAGCAGGTCTGTTCAAGTAAATTAATCCAGTTTCCAAGAATCATTTTTCTTTTCGTGCTATTGCTAAATCAAACCATTAACAGTGTTTGCATTTGCTTATCTATGCAAAAAGACAAAAAAACACTGTAACTACTACAGATAGATTTTAACCATCAACCAATACATTGGAACTCAAAGAACTCAAAGTATTTTATATCTAAAAAAATAAAAAAAATCAGGATCAAAAGAATCATATCAAGAATCTGTGGAACCAATGCACTCTACGAAAAGAATATAAAGGTTCAACGATTTTGATGATAACAAACAAGCATGGAAAGAAAGCTCCAAAGTGCAACCATAAAAAAGAAGTCTAAACAAGATCACGACTCAAGCTTCAAGAGAAGTCTTTAAGTCCAATCTCAAAATAACATATTATAGGACTTAGGATTATTTGTAATTGATTCCTTATGTGAACGAAGCTCAAAGTATTTTTCAAATACATGTATAAAATCATCGTTTGACATTCAAATACATTCTTAGCATGAAAATATAGGTTTCAATATTTATAAAATGTTTAAACAATATTTAAAACTGATTTGAATCAAGAGAAAATCATTTTAGGGTGAAATCCAACCTTTCAACAGGTTGGTAATCAATTACCAAAAAATGGTAATCGATTACCCTTCATGGTAATCGATTACCTACTGTGCAGAAGACAAAATAACGGTTATACAACGGCTAGTTTGCGAAAACGAGTGTGTAAATAGCCATGAGGGCCCTCTATAAATAGAGAATATTGTTCCCCTTGATGGGACACACTTCTTGATCATTATTACTCATTTTTTCTCATCCTATTTGCATTATTCTTGTCTTCTTGATCATAAATTCTCTTTGAACTTTATTCTTGTGAGAGTGTCAACAACCATTGTTCTTCAACTTGTGTTATTTGTACTTTGAGAGTACTTAGCCATTGTTAAACACGTTTCTTTGATTTCTTTAATAGTTAGGGGAGTGAACCCTATAGACTTGAGAGGTCACCAAATTCCTAAGAAAATT